AATCTCACTCTGGTAAAACAAGTGAACTTATGTGAAGCTGAAGTAAGATCGTCTAGCCAGTATCTTAAAACGTGTCAACTCGAGAAACGGCTGCCTAGATGGGTCTACACATCTATGGAAAGCAAAATGCCCCCCCCCGTCGACAAACTGCGCCCAAAAGTACTACAGTAACGGAGTAGTAGTGCTCTTGTTGACGATACGCTAACTTTTTTGTTATATTTTTTATTACTATCTTTTCACGACCAACTTTTGACATGTGCCTTTTCGTGCATAAGAGTGGGGCTTTCAGAGATTGCACCAATGGAAATCGTACTTATTTTGTCCGCTATATCCTAGGGATGAGTTGGGATTACTGGGACCGAGGCGAGTCGCGAAAATTTGTTTTCTCCTTGGTGTTTTTCTGTGAGTGGCACCCAAGTGATGAGATTCATTAAAGGCATCGTCATGGCTTCGCATTCGTCAAGCTCTGAGATTACTTTTAGCCATGGGCCATCAACATTGCACTTTTCGGGACTTAGCGCTTGCAAATTGTGTTTAAGTTCTGGTTAAGTTCATTGCTAAGATTGTTAACAACTTCTTCATTCGGTCAGGGTTTTGGCAGTGTCGCCTCTTCTGAAGCCTGGAAAATGGAAGAATTTGGGAAACGTTTTGGCTATCCTTGGGGAATTCTGAATGGGCAGCTATCGCTTTGCAATTACTTCGCAAGGCTGAGAATCACTTTTGCGGGTAATTTCGTGTGGGTTCATCAAGTTGACAGGTCCGATCATGCCAGGTCTTTGTTGATGCGCGCACAGGCCAGATGAGCGGTACCGCCTCTGTCCATGAGTTCTCCATGGAACCTTCGGATCAGAGCCCATGAAACGACGTCAGTTTTGGTCCCTGCCCACAAACTCATCCATCCGCAATGGCCGCATCGTTCTGCGGTCATTTTGCGTTTCGATCGATACGACGGCGTTTCGCCGTCCGTCTATTACGTTGGTCGTCGTCGCCGCTGCCGCTGTGGGGGCCCCCAACGCTCGGCTGGCCGCCGCGATCGGGGCGGCTATCCCTTCTTCTCGTCTCGACCTTTTACCCAATCGCTGACCGCCAAAACCTGATGATAATAGTGCTACTGTTGATTACAGTTACCCATCATTATCTATGATAAGAAAAGTGAAACGTTCACATCCAATATTTCTTATTTTTTCATCCACTTTTTCTTTCCTTTTTTCGTTTCAACGTACCATCTCGACCCTACGCAACAATTATATTTGTGCGGTCGCGAAAATTGATGATCCGTCTAATTTGCCTTGAGATTCCTAATGAGATTTACCAGAACAATTTATCCCTTCTGGTCCAGAGCACATCTGCTGAGCGGTTTCTGGCTCATTGTAGCCCGTATGTCAGTCATTGTTGTGAGATGTGCTCTTCTTCCCTTTATCGATTGGCTATGTATGGATATCTGGTCCGAATTTGCATACCGTATACCATACCGTCATTACCACGTCTCATCTTCCATCCGGACGTATTTGTCACACTTAACGTCATTGAATAGAATATGCTAGCTGTTGTTAAACCGGCTGACAAGGTGACACTTACACGCCCATCTTTACGACATTCATCTATCGGCCTTATTCATACTTGTTGTTATTGATTGGTTGGGTGTGGCCCGTGTAAGGTCACAGTTCAAAACTCAATGAAATCATCGCACCAATTTCGCGCACTATGCGAAAGATTCAGGGATATTATTGTAACAGTCTCAGTTTTTTTTAAACAATTTTGATTAATTACAAGCTCAAGAAATCTAGAAAGAAGCGTCTTTCTTTTGCATTTTTTATGTTCATTCTTATCGTAATGTTGTCAAACATATGCATCCCGAGTCACCTGATACGTATCGAATTTCAAATGGCCTCTACCTCGCACTAGACAGATCAAGTTATCGTTGAAATGTGCCCCTTGAATTGGGTTACGCCTTTTTCCGCTTTTGCAAATTATTGATCGTAGATCAGGGACATTATTTGGAGTTATTGATCGTAGATCAGGACATTGTCTGGAGGAGAAGTTTTGGACCAGACTTCAATAGCATGTCGTCGGAGAAAGCGCTGCAGAAAAAAATAGTTGATTGATAGACTTGACAACGGAAGTGTTCCAGTTTGCAAAAGCGTCAGTCTGTTTACAACCAAACCTGAAACATTGGAAGCAGTTGTGATCTATTGATTTTTTTCTGCTTCTTTTTCTTCCTCTAGGAGGTTGTTTTTACAAGACAGGGAGGGGGAAATTTTTGCAAAATTGGCCACCCTCCCGCAACGCTCAAAATTTCGCCACTGGTGAGATCCCCTCTTCCCCATCTCCCTACCGTCTTCCTAAACTCTCCCAACTTCCTACCAGTTTGCCCATTCTCCAGGAAATTTTTCCGATTTTTCTTCGAGCAGCGCTGTCGGGAGGGGGAGGGTATACAACGCTAACACCGTTGAAACAGGAAAAACCGAAAAGACAAATTAACAGCCGAAAACATTTCGTTTTTCTCAAAGGCAAAAAGATCCCCCCTCCAGCGCCCATTGTACGACGTGCCCTGCTGTCTTATCAACATTGTCAGTGTTTTCTCGTGAATGTAAAACGTAATTTATTGATTTTCTACTGTCGATTTTGATCTACTAACACAGTAAGCTAGAAATACTGCTCTTAAGACTGCTTGAACTCTGATCCTTTACTGTTTTAGTTTACGTTATCTTCTCTACGTAGCGCTCAATGATCATTCTGGCCTAGCAGATTCCAACTTTTCAGTCGGGAAACAGGGTCAGGATGGGTGGAATGGAGTGTCAGTACGACCCCCCCCCCAAGTTCCTCTTCCAATACGATCCTCTTTCACCATCCTCCACAGTATCTCCCCTAATGCTCCCTAATCCCAACATTCTCCGAAAACTTCTCCAGTATTCCCAACAGAGCGCGTCCTTCGTTGGGGAATCCCCAACGGGAAGAGGGGAGAGGGAAGAGTCGTATATGTTCGCTAGAGGGAGGGGGTTGTAATGAGTGTGAGGAAAAATTTTTATAGTGGTATTTTCCTGTTTCAGGCGCTAGTTTCTTTGTTGGGAGAGTCCCAGTAGGGGAGTGCGTATGCTCATCGTTGGAAGAAGGGGGTCGTGCGCTCCGGAAAGATTTGCCGCATTGGGACTAGTTAAACCCAGCAGTTGGTAAGAGGGGGTGGGGTTTCAACAGAGGACGACATTAGGGGGGGGTCGTATTCCCCAAAAAGTTTCCCCTGTGGCAGGACGTGCCGTGATTCTCAAAGAACTAGCGAAGAGGGGCTGAAAAGTCAATAGCATGGGAAGCTTTTCTCGAGGTTAGGAAATTTTCTATCAAAATCGGGACCGATTCCCCCCCCCCCTCCTCAGCTGCCAAGTACGACCCTTCAGATGGGATTTTTTCGTTGATGCTGGACCCTGTTCTCATTCACTAGAAGTTTCTCATCCCTGCAGCCAGTTGAAAAAAATCACGTCCGCGAGTTCACCATATGTTCCTTCCCACCTTTTTATACTCCTCCAGAAACTGCCGTTCGTCTGTTTGCCCCCTCCTATTGAGGTAGGACCATTAAAAAAAAGTTCCAGCAGTCACATAACCGGAAATTCTTGAGTTAATCGATGGCGTACGTCCATTGTGGGCGTTTGCATGTTTTTTCTTGGAACTTTATAAATTGCCGTGCGAATGTGTAAGTTCTTGAAAAGCCGTGGTAAATTCGATTCTTTCGAGAGATTTTCTTCTTGAATTCAATAAAAATTTAGAAATCAATGCTGCAGTGCGTGATTCCTCGTATACTTTGAAAGGGTTAAAATGACTCTTGAGAAAACCTATTGTGACGGGCCAATAATCCCGTACTCGACGCATGGCTCTTTACCGCCATAACTCTATATCGCCAATCGAGATAACGTTTGATGAATGACCGACCTCACCTTTCACTCATCTCTTTCCTCCATTCATTGCTAGCGATTATTACGTCAAACATTTCATAACTGACGTCTCATTTTCATTGTTCATTTTACATTCATCAATCCAATCATTTCATTATCTCATTATCGTACTGAAAATTAAATGATTTATTTGGTTTGTGTGGTGGGAATTTTTGGGAGGTTGGTGTGATTTTGGAGAAGTTTCGGCTCTAACGTATGGGGGAGGGCACTCAATAGCGCCCCTAACCCTCCTAATTAAGCTTAAGGCTCAGAGGGAATTATGTCTGCACTACCCCCGGGCGACTTTGGTCGTCTGCGCTCTGAGCCAGAGCCATTTGTGGGAAGGAATAAAGAGGCGCGTCCCGACTGGTTCCTTCCTCCCCACCTACCTTTATTATTCTCATTTCTTGTCCTGATAAGAGAGGCACATTCTTGACGGCATTCTGTGAACGGACTCCTAACAAACACAGATTGATAAGATGGCTGGAGTAATTCTCTTATTGGTCGCTATCGACTGAACAGTTTCTTGGCGCAATTCGGCTCGGTAGGGGCATCAAGGTACCCAGCGAAGTTGGTGAAGGCCACTATGAATTTTGGTGGCCGAAAAGGTTCATTCGCACGGCTTCATAGTTTCACATGAGTTTACAAGTCTGACCAAAATGAGACCTGATGAAGCAACAAAGAGCAGTAACGAAAGGTAAAATGCCCCCTCTGAGACGAACATCGCCCATTTTCTCATTATTCTTACAGTATGGGCTCCTCTTGTTGATCAGTTGGAGAATTCTCATTTGATCTACGCATACTGTTATTGAATAAATGGAGAATTGTCATTTGATCTCCACATGCTCTTCTGATCAGTTGGAGAACTATGACTTGATCAACGCATACTCCTTTTATTGATCAGTTCGTGAATTATCATCTGATCTACGCGTACTCCGTTTGTTGATCTTGGAGGTGTATCATTTGATCTACGCAGTATGTGTTGCGTGTTTTCTCTGTGATATAACTCAATGCAAATGAACATATATCTTTCAGATTCTCCACTGCACTCTACTATGGTCCCGGGTTAATAAAGCGATGCGTCTTCTGCTTGTTGTGCTTGTCGGCTATGTTGCCGCAACAAATGTGGGTCATAGCATAGTTATTGATCGGTTTTTCTGTGTGTCTGTGTGTGTGTTATCAGGGTTTTCGATGGCTGTGCATTTATGCGCCAAGTGTTAAATGCACCTGTCATCCATACATTATCCACGCCGTCTGACAGACAGTTGTCGTTATGACAGCTCAAATCAGTTGTCGAAAATCTTTTCATACGGAGAATTGGGTCAAAAGATCGGCACCGCTAATGGAATATTCATGGCGGTTTGAAATTCATAACTGAAATTTATTAATTTCAACATTTATTCAGAACACGACATCTATAAATAAACGGGCAATCGATGGTGGTATACATACGATCAAGAAGAGTGAGGTATGTGGTGGTCATTGTAGATCGTAAGAAATCAATATGTTGCGCTTGTCCGATTTGGTAGATCGCAAGAAATCAATACACGACGTTTTCTTTCAAACATTCATTTTTTCATTTCAATGTATTGTCTTTAAACATATGGGTTTGCTAAACTGGCGCGTTTTGATTTTACTCCTCGTGTTTCTCGATCTTTATAGTTAGTATCGATCATTTGATTTGTTTGTACATTTCGAACTTCATGGGGATTACTATATTTAGGTAATAGAGGGGAGCGGTGATGAATCTGCATTGAAACATTCCGTATCATCACCGGACACGGAGATTCATGGTTCCGGTTACGGTAGTGACGACGAGGATGGCGAGTCGGTTCACGGTTCCGGAAGTAAGTTATTTTTCAATAACTGGGGTTCTGCAGTATATAAACCACATATATCAGTTGACGTTCTACGTTGTTCTTAACACGAGGGCGATCGTGGTGGAAAGGGTAGAGGAGGAGACATAACCCATAATCTTAACGAACCGGTAAATACCAGATTGTTCTAACGGGGTATTAAGCTTGCTCGGCAATTTCCGATTTCCGATGCCCGATTTCGATGGCTAACTTGGAACTAGTCTTTATGTCCCGTGTCCCGTCTGAACACCAAGTGTTTGGACCGCTCATTCTCAGCACTGGCGCTGTTATCACTACTGTGCAGGCCTTATCAGAAGTACTATCACGGGCTGAAGGATGGGAATCACTGATCGTTGGCGGCTTAGCGATAAACATGTTTGGCAGTAAGGGAACAAGTTACTAATTCATGCTCTGCTCGTCCCATCAAATTTTCGCTGAAGTCGTTACCTGGACCCGAAGAGCGGTGCTTTAACTTTCCCGTTCTGTGGGCCAAGTTTCAGCTCATTGATCCTGAGAACCGGGTGGCAGGGTTTGGACACTTGGCCGCGCTTCTATGTCTCTCCTGCTAACAAAATCTGGGCTTGGAATCGCCAAGGGACAATCTCGCATAGAAGCACCATACTATGTATGTAGTTTTCACCAAGCCTAATAAGAAAAAGAAAAGGCATGGGTAGAAAAACTACTACTTCAAAAGTCTAACAAATTGTTTTGTCCCTGATCTACAAACCAGTGTTACCTCTTTGGCCCGGGACCTAGCCTTGATTGAAGGAGGTGACCTAGAGGCGCGTCTGAGTGGTCTTCCCTCCAGACTTCGTTAGGTCTTCTTTGGTCTGCCTGGCATACGTTGGGGCACGATCTCATTTTGTTCTGTAGGTTGGTAGAAGAGGGGTGCCGTTCAATGGCAGACTTGTAATAGCTCAGTGAAACTTCAGAGAAGAGAAAAAAACAAAAAAATTCATGGATAGTACCATAAGGACCCCTTGGCACCTCACTTTACAAGTTGTCCTGACCAGCATAATCGTGGGAGCCGATCTTTAGATCACTAATCCTTTCTTCGCGCACCTAATCCTCATACCATCTAGCACCCAATACTTATACCATCTAACTGTGAAGGCGGAAAAACACGTAAGACCTCAGTTCGTGGTAGAAGATCACCTTTGACTTTAGGTGGGCGGAGCAACTAGGGAGGCGTCGGAACTGTCACTTATGAGGGTCATCCTTCATGACCTATTAAGCAGCCGCGAAAGTGGTATAATCTTAGTGTCTAAGGACCAGACCACTTCTACAAGGAAGGAACCGATAATGAATTGCTTGGGCGCGGGGACTGTCTTCGAGTTTCATTTCTCATGCGTTGAAGAACACGATTTAGCGTCCATGGTCGATGTCATCGAAGGCTCAGGTGCAGTACCATCGATGATTCAACAACGACCACAGGTCACCACTACGACCACTACCACCCATATGCCACCTGTTCATTCACATTCGGATACGGAACATGTGAGTGTAATTACGATGTATTCCGCTGTATTTTTCTCAATCATCGTAATTTCTCGTACGTGCCATCATCATTCGTTTCGCTGTGCGAAAAGTGCCGTGTCGTATCGGCTAAACAGCGTAATGTGAAGTGCAATGAGCTGGAAGTTTCGAACAGATTTCTGTTGACATGTACTAGCTAATGAGAGGATGGGAGCGCACACGCTGAATGTGTTTCTTATTCGGAATAGGGGTAATTAGAAGGGTTTCTCGAAAGCGCTTTTTACATCACTCTTTTCTCTATAATTAAATCCAAACAGTGGGCTTTCAAAGTAAAAGGGATCTGAGGGCTAGAATTCGATCGGGAAGGCTTTGTAAGAGACTGAGATTGCTTGTTCTCTCCTTTTAGACTTCTCCTTATTACTACACTTACTATAATTTTTCTTTTTTAAAATTTTCTTCTCCATCGCCTTCTATCTCGTTTCCTTCTACGGCCCTAGTATCCTAATTAAGGGCACACAAGGAAATCTGTTCTAGACTGTGGATAAAAATCTTCTTGACCATGCACTTTTGCGCTCGAGAGCCTGTTGACCAAGGCATGAGTCTTTAATTTACTTTTTTTCTAAGTTAATTACTTAACTCGCGAATGTACTTCCCCTCAATCATTTGGAATGCCAGCTGCATGCGATTTCATTCAGTATTTTTTTTTGAAAAAGAAAAACGTAGGGGGTTAACAGGAGCAATTCAAGGAGTCAGGGAATCCCTGATCAGTACTAGATTTTTATTACTAGTTACTTCAAGGAAGGGTAGCATAACGGATAGCGCACTCGCTCGGAAAACGAGAGGTGCGAGTTTGACTCCCGGGTTCGACTTTTGCCCATAACTCAGCATTCTTGTGGTAACTTTCGTAGCGCGAACTGCGGCGTAAAGCAACAGTTATCCTAATATAAAACTTTAAAATTTCATTCTAGTGATTGCTGAAGGTGTGCTTCCTTCAGAGGCGAGACTGAAAAAGCCCACAGCTCAATTTTTAGAAGGACTTGTCTTTTTCGAGTTCCAGTTTTTAAATTATTTTAGTTTTGCAACCTTCTTTTCTGCGAAAACTGCGCCCGAGATTTCCACTCTTGAAGCTTAATCCTTTTAGTCCATAGTGAGCACATTCCCTATGGACTGGTGAGGTCGTCCTATAAAATCTCCCGCTTCCTTTGCTTGGGACCCGTGTGTTTTATGCTCAGGATCCTAACTTCAATCCCAGTGTGCAATCTGGGGCAAGGTTTCCACGACCACAGGTGAGCTTGGATTAAGCTGCCCGCGGGAGAGATTCGAAGAATGATAGCCAAAGTTAGGCTACTTGTGGATAACGTGGGGAAACACGCGGAAGCCCCAGTGGGCAACAAATTTAGCAGAAGTGACGTTGATGGAGTGGGGGTGAGAGGAGTAGAGGGAGGCTTAGCAATAAATAAAGAGCGCGATAAGATTGTATGAGGGTTATAATTGGGGGTTAAAACATTAGTATTGGCCTAATCCAGTCAACTCCTATGGCGTACTGCCACTGGTACCTATTGGGAGAGGAGGACGTTGCACTCATAGCTAAAGAGCGGAAGTGCTAACGGGCTTAAGAATCCCAAATAACCACTTTTGTTGTGAAATCTGTCCTACATCTGGGGAAGTCTACGGTGTGCTGAAGTCCATGTTGGCATTGGAATGAAGCTTCATCGGAGGTCGATCTCGGTCTACTCGGTTGTTGTTGAAACAAGTGGATATAATTTGCTACTATAATTTGCTGGAACTTCAATAAAATAAAAAGAGAGATTTGTTACGATAGAAGAATAAGAAAAATTTCCAAGAATCAGTCTAATTTTTGTTGTGGATCAATGTCTATGAAAATCACTTTTGATAGTATTTGCTACGTTTTAAATGAATTGCGGAAGCAGGGGGGGGGAAGCGGGCGGGGGAGAGTGCCAGTTTGCATTTTAAGTCAGCGCTAGAGTAGCCTCTAATTTCCAAGGAGAGGGAGCTCCGCGGTGAATTAACCACTCATTGTTTGTAAAATATTGAAACGAACGGGGTGTCTCAACCTCCCCATCCTAGGCATCGTTGTGTCAAGCACAGTGTAAGCGTTTTCGTTCGATGGAAAGGGATTCGCTTGTAACCCTTCTTACCCCCCCCCCCGCTCAGTCGGTAGAGTGAGAAAACTAGTATTCCTGATTGATAAGTAGTGAATCCCCTCCTGCTCTATGGCAAGTTTTTGGGGAAGGCTAGAGGACGTAAGGAGGCTGCAAAATGGATCATGTCAAAGTAGAAACTTCGGGGGAGGGGGAGGGGGTCGCATTCAGCAAAACTACTCCGCCATGCGGCGGTGTGCCCTTTTCCCCAGCTAGAAGCTATCCCCCATGGCTGCAATGTACAGCCTACGCTAGCGCTGATGAAAAATTGCAGACTGTCCCTACACTCCAATCCCGAGGTGCAGCTGATAACGTCCCAATCAGATGAAGCAGTTTTAAGAGGGTTAGAATGAGCACACCAGCGGCGTTTCCACCACTGGTTGTTTTGTTCCTACATGGGCCGCTATTGATCTGATCGTTATTGGTAGAGCAAAGCAGCTGAAGGTGGGCTCATTCCGCGCCTCCAGACGGGGTGACGGGCAAAAGAATTGTAATTTGCCGCTCGGCGGCGGCGGGTGCGGCGTTTTTTTAAATTCGTGTTAACCTGTCGATTGGAGCACCGGACTTCAGCAGACGAGACTCCATCATTATGGGCATTCATGTCTAATTTCTATTTGAATTGCCTGTTGTCGCCATCTACTACCCGGAACCATCGTCACTTGCGGGCGCGACGTCGCACGCGACGTCCACCAGCGCGGCCAATAACGGTTCTCTTGTCACATGCCCCTCCAGAAGTCTCAGACGTTGTGGCGTAATCGACTATGCATAGGTTAACAGAAATGAAAATGGCTCGGAAATAAATATTTTTTGATCATACATATTCTGGCTTCTGTGGTTGATTACGATAATTGTTTAGGTGTTCAATCCGGTGGTTCCAATACGACAATCACCTAAGGTAACAACTGTTACTACTGAAGCTCCATGGTCATCACAAGACAGTGACGAACAGGAGCCCATAAGAGCTGTCGTGGATAACGAGCGAGACTCCGTTATCGAGACGGTTATCGTTCAGGATACGATGACGACCCCACAATCGCCATCACGGACAACGACGACCACGTCGTCAACGTCAACTCGACGTATTGCCATTCAACCGGCTACCACCCCGGATCCAACTGCTACACAATCACCATTTCATCCCGTGCTCAAACCCGGAATCTTTGCAGGTGGGCCGTGTTTTCGCAATATTCCTCCTCGTCACCACTTTTTCTTTCATTTTTGCACACACCATTGCAAGAAGGTCCACCAGCTGTTCCAATGGCGCTTTATTTTGTCTTTGTTGGCTGTACTTTTTTTCCCCACATATGGACAAGTGCGGGATTTGTCCCAGTTGATATATTGATTGGTTTGTTGGTTTCTAGGGTTGAATTGCGGCGACGGCTTTCTTTCGGAAAGCGGTATTGTTTATGGGAGCTGAACTGCCAACTCTCAGTCTCTTCATAGTTCTTGCAATTAGTGCCGATCTCTCCCCCGCGCCCAGTGCAAAGGGAGGAGAGTGAGTGAAGTTGCGGGGGGATGACCAATTGCTTCGGCGAACTAAGACCGATTGTGTTTTAGTCGATTTCGGGGAAGATTTATCAGCGATTACTAAGCACTACGGTATCTCTGTTGAAAAACAGCTGTTCGTACAGAAAAAAAAACGAAAAAAGTTCGATTTTTTCGCCCTTTAAACTGCCTTAAGTCCGGTTTTTTTTAACCCATTAAACTACATAATCCTTCTGTAGTTGTCCTTGGATCGTGAAAACACGGGGATGTAATCTTTGTAGCACGATACCGCGAACTTGTTGGAGTACTCAACTTCGTAGTTTAGAACCAGTAACACCGGTATAAAGAAGGGCTTTACAGCCACCTTGTTGCATTCGGTCTGTTACAACCACGTCTAGGAGAACTCGCGTGGTAGTGCTCCTATCAGGGAACGTCCTGCCATTTCGGAAAAGAACTTGGCAAAATGTAACTCGCTCTCAAAATTTCCTCCTCTGGTAGGCCATTCTCCTTCCACATACCCCTTCCTACCCATCACCTACCTAAATTCTACTAACTCTTTACCGCGTTTCCAGAGTTTTTCTTTTCTCAGAAATTGTACAGTTTGCCCTAAAAAACTGCTGTCGAGCAGGACGGGGGTAGGGGGCTGGTGTCGAGCAGGACGGTGCAGGGAGGGGGGGGGGGCGTATTGCGTACCTGAAACGGGAAAAAGATGTCAGTGTCTACAACCGAACATTTTCTCAGAGGGAATATGACCCCTATTCCCCAGCGATCAAGTACGACTCCCCTCGCTGAGGGTCCCTACGACGTGCATTGGTTCCCTACCTTGAACTGATGGAGATAGTATCTGAAACAGTTCGAAAACATCAACTACTGTTGTAAGTGTTATTAATTTCTATTTTAAAATTTATTAGTCGTAAGATGATCTGCATCCGGAAATGATAGAGTATCATGGCGTAGCCGGGATACTGTAGAATTTCGATATCGCGTGACATAGTTTAATTGTTGCGCAATTTTCTCGTGATATGATAGCGCGATGGGGACCTCTGGAGAGGGATCGGTGAATTATGGCGGAATCCCCACAGGAACTTCCGAGGGCACCTTCAACCCCAAACATCGAGTAAAATATATAGATACAGTTATGATGTTTCAAGCCCTTAACTTTTATCTTACTTTTTAATTTTCACGGTTCATGGAACATGCTTAGCTGAATAAAGTGCTCCCGGATGTGAGTCTTTAAAGTGGTCGGCTGTGGTGTTTGCGTCAGTGATAGGAGAAAATACCCCTTTTTGAGAGTATGAAGTAATCTTGGATCGGTTCCCATCTGGGACTTGCATCCCTCCGGTGTCGATTAGTTTAAGACTTGAAAGGGTACAAGGCTTGATTAGCCGGTCTAGACCGAATCGCATTCAAACTCCTTTGAAATACTGGATGTTACTGGGAGGCGTGGCGCATCTCAAAGTATTGACTTACGCTAAAGACGTCACCTCCCAGATTTTATGAATTTTTCATAGGCTGCTCATGGTAGTGAAGGATTTTTGGCGTATATCGTACTACCGGGTAGATATGAAACTATTAGAAGTATTACTTCATAAGGCGATCAATTAATTTGATTTAGAGTAAGTTGTCCTTTCACCCTGTTTTTGCACAGATGGTTTCCTTAGCCTGCTAAAGTATGGCGCCCTGATTTGTGATCTCCATCCTTTTTGTACTACTACTGTATACCCAACCGTTTTCAAGCCGTGTGTAAGGGCTGTGGGATATTGCATGCACGGCGTATTCCTAAGAATTTTGGGGCTCTTCCTGTTTGACCATTTTTACTGGAGAGTTCCGGAGAAAACCTTAGAAGGCGCTGGCTTCTTCACTATTTCTCAATAAAAACATGTTTTGAGCCACCTTTCTAAATTTTACCTGTGTCCAAAGGGAAATTTGATCTACTCTGCAATTTAATATAGTATAATATAAGTTAGCCCTCTGATTTTTTAGAGTCTGGTAATAAATAACTTCTCGAGCAATTATAGTGCAAGGCTACTTTGATCCTCTACAAAATGTTTCCACTGATGTTTTCTCTGGCGCATCATTGCACGCATAAGTAAACAGATACTAAATAAACAAATAAAATGAACACTTCCGTTTGTTTCCTGCAATCAGTCGACGCAAACTTTTGATCTACTTCTGAAACTCAATTTTCTAGTGAAATTAAGGTTTAGTAACCTTTTTGTTCGTGTGAGCTCTGTTCTCCGATACTAGTGCCTTTCGCAATACTTGGAAAAGCTACCAGTATCGGAGAAGGGCTAACTTTGAAAGGCTACTTCAACTGTGCCGAGTTTTATTGGCTATAACGTTCGCCTCGAACGCGAAAACTAGTTGAATTTTGATCGTCGTCGAGCGTCAAGCTGCACGGATGCGTCCACATAGGGCTAAATTAGATTCTGTCGGGGGCTATTACTGCAATACCCTTTAAGTCGTTGTTTTGAATGCTGACTGGCGAGTGAGTTGGTCGTTGTCGTCGTAGTGCGTGGAAGCGTCATCTATTTGGACCTCAGTCAATCCTTTAGATGTGTGGTGGATAGGAACGAATGAATGAGGAGGAGTGTATTTGGCCGAAGATTGACTTCGGGGGGAGCAGGGGGGGGGCGACTGGGCTGGCCTGATGACATGACGTTTCTCTTTGATCTTCCCGTCTTCACAGACATTGCCGCCACACATTAAAGGACTCTAAATGATAGCGAATATTTTTTATTCGAAACTGGCGCGATCGATTGTGGCGATATGGCTTGTGAAATGGATGGATGGGCTGATAGAGATGGGTTTGGCCGAGTGGGAAGTTAGTCTTTCACTTCGACAAGGCCCATTACATCGGTTGAATGTGTTGGAAAAGTGCAGTGGGTGGTATCGAATCCTGGGTGGTCCTGGCGAAGTTTGAAAAGGGAGGCGAGAGAGGGGCTCTATGGAATTACCTTGACAGCAAGCTGGGCGCTTTTTTCGTTTATAGTATTATTTGGGTTTACTAAGGTAAACCTTCCTAAACGTTTTCGAATTTCTATGGAATGTTTCTTTTCCCCTAGAAGGGAAAAGATCGGGGAGCCTTTTCCCCTACATTTTCCACATTTTGAAAGAAGTAATCGATAAGAAAATGACGTGTTGAAGTAGCTATAATTTTATGGGAGCTTAGTTGCGGCTTTCGTGAAGAAATTTTGATTTCCATTTAAAAGCTATTTTCTTTCAGTAAGTTCAAAGGTCACGTTCCTTTGAAAAACATGAAGTGTATTATAAAGTGTGATGCTTTATGTCTCCCATTGTGTTGGGATATTTCCTTACAAGTTACTTTTAAGGCAATCCGATAAAAATATTGTGATTTGGTACAACAGCTGGTGCTGGTTACGGTATACATATTTTTCGCCCAAGTGGTACCTCCGAGCTGGAGGAAAGTGTGGATTACTTCAACTCACGCCATTTTTCTTGTGCTGGGCGGCATTTAGTGCTGAAAGGTGCGAAGGAGCAGCTGTGGGCCAGAAGGGACTAGAATTTTCGCTGGACGGGGGCGGCTCAGCCAATTTCTCTCTATCAGAGGGAGTTTCGCATTTCGTGGAAAGTATTGGGTACCACTAGATGGTTACCAGTTTTTGAAACCCATGTCAATGACCAGGCACATCCTGCCGCTGGGGAAAATTTCCGGAAAATACGACCTCCCCACTTCCCTACAGTAATACGACACCCCCTTCTTCATTCTACCTACCTCTTGCCTAGTTTTTTCCCAGCTTCCTACCACTTTCCACTTTTTCTCGAAAAGAGGGGTTACCAGCTTTCCACTTTTTTTGGAATGTCCGTAAATTTTCTAGTTTTCCTCCAACATTTTGCTGTCGAGCGAAGAAGTCGTGAGCAACCAGCTGCTAATTTCAACTATCAGAAATATTAGTTGTATATAATTCTGGGAGCCCACAAACAAAGGCAAATACGACCCTTTCCCCCCCCCCCTCTCCCGAGGAGCAAATTGTCCTCTTCTATACGGCCAATCACTACAAATGCGCAGGAAGGGGAGCAGCTGCGCGACTAATACAGTAAAAATCGATAATCAAAAAGTTCCTGAGATCAGCCAAACATTCCTGAAACCCGCTTTGTCGTCTATTGACCAAATACGACCCCTAGTAGATATTTCTCAGCGCAACAGTATTCCTCGCATGTTTGATCCTGCCGAGGTGCTGTGCACTAAAATGCCCTACCGTATACTAACTGCATCAACTTCTGCAGTGCTGCAAAACAAATCGATACTGTCGTGACTAGTAAGCTTTGGAAGCCTATTGTTTGGCGTTGTGTGTGTGTATATTTATGTACGGTCCCGTTCTCGGTGACCCTGTCTAATCCGCCTAACTGATGCGCACAATGTCTCTTCAGCCGACCTCTAGAAGAGTGCTAATTATAAAATAGGGTAATTATAAATTGCGTAAATGTGTGATGACTGGGGAGTCATTGGTCATTATGTTTCGATTCGATTTCCATCACATTCCCATCACTATCGTAATGACTTTCTTCAGTCGGCATTTTCGGGGCGATACTCCTTAATCTTATCAGGTCATCTATAAACTACGCGCATCGCGGCGGCGATTTCTTCACAGGGAATTTCCCAGGGAAATGTGAATTTCAGGTGTGTGGCAATGGCTTCTGAGAGGAAATGGCGTCTGTAGTTGTGTTAACGTGTTTAACGATGCATGTTTAAGTTTGTTTGATTAGGAGCTGCGCTGAGTCTTGGCACGGCTTGTTCCCTCTAAAGCGTCCGGCCGGCACTTCTGTAGAGAGGAGAGGGGGGTCGCGTTCTAGTGGACGAGGTGATATTTGCATACTGGTCGAGTGATTGATATGCCGGCCAGGCTATTTGCTCAAGGAGGGCAGATGGTTGCTGGGTGAAGGCAGTAGCCCCCTGTGGTGAACGCGTTGTCGCCCATTTTGCAAAAAGGGTCATTTCTGTGTCGTCCGTCCATTCGGGACGAGGCGCATGATGGGCGGAATGGGACTAGCCCGTAATTAGAATCCAGGAAATCCATCAGAAAAGCGAGGAACTAGGCTGTGATCTTGGCTCGCCAGATGAGAACGCCAGTGCGAATTACTTTGGCAGGCGACGCTGCTATAAAGAGGGACTTTCAGGGGGAGTTCTAATCTCCTGGGTTTATAACCGGGTTATTGAGAACTAAAGGGCAGATATCTGCGTGCTAAGTGTATGGGTTATTGACAAATTCCTTCTGAATGCGTCATATATTTGGCCACATCGGGTCTCGTGAAAGCCATTGAATGGGAATGGTGCCACTACAAAGACATGTTAGGGTCGATCAGAACGATCAGTGAGCTACTACCTTTTATTCCTTTGTGCAATTGTTAAATAAATCTACCGTATCCTGAGAATTAACGTCCTGTTTTTGGACATATAGGCAAAGCTTTGGAAGGGGAGGGAGGGAGGAGGAGGGGGGGGGGAGATGGTTATGTGTGTACTGAACTGCTAGTTTAACTCTGCGCTACTACCCCTTAATCTGGCTGCCCTTGAAGAACTGCCAGGAAGCCTGTGGGTGTTTCATGGCTGAGACTGAGTGTCCTTCTAAAAATTCTCCCTCGAGAGGTTCTAAACAGCGGTGGTTAAAAAAAATCGCTTTTCTTTTCTTGAAAGCTGCGGAGAGCTAATGGGATGTTGATAGGGTCAGCTATTGCAAGGGGATTCAGAAAGTAATTAACCCTGCAATTAGCTCAGTGGCTCGCACTGGATCTAATATGCTAAATTAGCCTCAAGGCAGGGGCAGCAGGTTCCTTGTTGAGTGCAAAAGGCCAAGTGAAAGTTGGCAGTGGTGCGGGGACTTAAGGAAATCCGGGAACCCAGGAATTATTTATTAAGGATGCTCTTGAGTATGCTCCCACATTACCCGAGATCAAAGATGTGTTAAAGGACGGGTGGTAAATATGAACATAACGCTACTTCTGTCCGAAATGTGGAATAAATCAGGATCCCGGCATTGCAGTTCCTCCACGAAAACGCGCATAATATAAAATGCACAAGAAAGCGTTATTTGAGAAATGCTCGGTTAATACCCCATGTGGGTCCCTTCCCTAATTTTTCCCTATTCATTTTGCTGTCGTTCGTAGAATTGAATATTTGAAGGAATTAAAGGAGTCTGGTGAGAAGATGGCCCATTAGAGACGAGGGGGTCGCCATAAGTGTGATCATATTAGGTTACGCTATTCCACATCGTCAGCGTAAATCCAGCGAACAATGAGCGCGCTACTCTTTCATTGGCCTCTCTCTGATAAATGGCCTGAGGGATGACAGAATAAGAATGACATTTACAACGTCTAAACCACATATGACATCTGCTATTGGTCAACAATTGATGGTTTGTGATTGGTCGAAAGTAAGCTATTTAGGGAACATGCCCCCTCAGTAGAAGATGGAAATGCTCTATGCAGGTGGGAAGTGCATCCCTATAACTACCGGCTTCCTATTTATAGCCCTGTTAATTGTGGGCGCTCAGGGTTCTCCGCTATATATCCTCTTGACGGGTTGCATAAAAATCGTCCATGTCTCCGATGGAATAGGTAAATATGAAATATACTTTGAGAATAAAAATATGTAGTTCTTGCCCTACAAATTCAGTTATTTTTGATTCCGAAGGTTTTTGGTGGTCATTCATCACCGTGCGGGTACTTCTAGGCAATTTTGTCAGAAAACTGGACGGTAGATCACAATTTGGACGGCTTAATACAGCCCTAACATCTTGGAAGTCTCACTGAGAATGTCTGTTTCAGCGCTATTAGGGTTTTCGTGGACGAGGGAAGATGTTGTTTCCTCGTGACTGTTTTCGACGTACAGGTTTTTTGTTAGGCCCCCCTAAAGCAGATTATAGCCTTATTTGTAGAAGGCGAAAGTGAATCGCCTTGCATGCATGACTAGGCCGACGCGTTTACAAAAAGTGTGAATCGATGGAGAAGAAGGGATCCTATTCCCTGAACCCACCTGCGTCTGAAGACCAAAATGCACAGTAGCTTTTAGTCCGCGACTAATCCCCTATCTGCCATCTGGAGATGTACCTCGTGACCTCACATCAGACACCTAGGTAATTCTTAATTAGGGAGATCCATGGATTAACCTGGTCCTGGAAACCTACGGACTCGAGTTACCATAATCAAGGGTTTTTTCTTTGTCAATAAGATCTTGCTATATACCGAATTTTCCGGGGTACAAAGCGCACCCTGTATAGGGCGCACCTAGGCCTCGGACGCCACGAATATTTTTTTCCGACTTTCCTTTTGCGTACTCCCGGTTTCTTAACATGTGAATAGTCTATATTGAACAAGAAAGGGGGAGGGGGCTGTTGGGGTGGGTGGGGGCGCTTTGCGCTTTTGCTACGTTCCATTAATAGTCTTCCTTTCTTTGCAAGAGTTGACAGGATCGAAGGTTGAAGGTATAAGAATAGTTAACAAGTGGTCTTTACTAATCGGCTGGTATCTTTTATATGGCTTCACAAGATTTCACAAATCTCCACCTGTGGACCTGTTGATGGGAAATAGCGAAATGATTCCCCCCTCCCTCCCTTCCCCCAAGGCGGACTACGGCCCAAAAAGTGCTTGAAAAACGATAAGAAGATAAGAATTTACAAAAAAGAGCTGAAAAGCTACTGCTGTTGTGAGGAATTTTTTGGCGTGTCTTGTAGCATGCGTCTCCGCGACCGTGAAAGTACAACAATAAATTCGCCTTACCTCTAAATAAAGGGTAATAGGAATGTGTCATGGTAGAAGAAAAATCCTTTTCCAGTACTTCCATGCCTCCTGTCTTTCACAGAGTACGATGTTCCATGCGATTTTCCCTCTCAGTTCCAATCCCGCTTGCTTCTCAGACATTTTGGGACAAGGGCTAAAGTGGATCAGTTCGTAGGGTGTCCATCCGAAGATGGGATTCCGCGCATACCTTCTATCGGTTTGGGGCCCAAAGAATTGTCATGGAACATATATGCTAATAATAAATTGAAGTTACTATAAATAACGGACGAGTGCTCAGACTTTAAGGGGCTTTAGATATAAGTCCGCAAGGAAAACCTTTATCTTTTCGAATATCAAGTGCGTGGCGCATTCTGAAAGCGATGGTTTGCTGATTGCTTTACCTCTATGATGCCTACTTCAAAGAAATTGAAACAGTAGTTATGAAGTGGTTCCCATCGACTCACCTGACCACCGAAATACTCGTTCCTGATTTTGATGCCATTTTGGGCAAAAGTGAAATTTTATGGGACCCATATAATCTGTTTTCTCTCAAGTCGTACAGCGAATGTGTCTAGCGATCAATGAACCGAAAAGGATGCGTCAGGTTTATCATCGTTGGTGGGTAGACATACCACCAATCAAATATAACAAAAACTAGGTTTGCTGTGCCGCCAAGCAGGGGAGGTAAAGGGCTTACCGAAGCGTTGGGTGACGAAGTGCCTGAGTACATATGCCCTGGTAAGCCCATACCCATTAATGGCTGCTCGCCTCGTAGTAGCAGCGACTGGCTGGAACGAGCAGCTGGCGCCGCGCCAAAACGTAGTACGCCGGAACGCCTCTACTGATGCACCGTTAGAGGCAAGTGGCAGATAAATCCGTGTGTAGGGTTGGTACGCTTAGCAGGACAGAATTCAGCACCCCGGAGCAGGCGCTGCGTGGCTTTTTTTCCAAAGAATGTTCCCTTATAGCCCCTATCATCCTATCATGCTGCAAAATACCTACCCGGACTCCCACGGCGCCCACCCTCCCAGGAAGGTCCAGCGATACTGATGCTCGTACCGCTCATTTGCGAAGTACAGTATGAAGCGAAAAGATTGACATGAAGCGGCTGTGGTGCTGCATGGATGTGCGAGTACATACATGCAGCCGCTATACCGTTGTACCAACCTTCCCCCCCCCCACCAAAAAAAAGGAGGGGGTCGTCGTACGGAGTCGACTAAAATCCCCAACCAATGATGTCCTGTTTTGACCTTTTCACTTCGCTTTTTCACCATTTCCCATTATAGAGCACCCCTGATACCATTTTAGACCGATTACCAAATTATGGTGTCTTATACCTTTAAGCACTATGTAATGCGTGTCTAGCGTGAATAGCGTAAAACGGGAAAATTTTTCTAGAGAACAAACACGCTCCCTCCCCCTCGCTGGTGGGTTCTGCACTGCAATGTTGCACTGTATTCCACAGTAATTAGTCCATGACAAGTAATAAGTGTTTGCTATGATCTGTTCAATTTCAGCTATCGTTGGTGGTACAGTTGTCGGTCTATTGACAGCCATATTACTAGTAATGTTTATTGTGTATCGGATGCGAAAAAAGGATGAAGGATCGTATGCGTTAGAAGAGCCAAAACCACGTCCATATGCTGGTTATGCGTACACAAAAGCATCCACGAAGGAATTCTACGCATAGATTTCAGCTCATATAACTTCTATTCTATTCATCTTTAGCATATCTGTCATATCATTCATTCGTTCATTCGTTCATCCGTTCATTATCGTCATTCAGACACAAATGCACATGACCGTTGTATACTGACGTTGATCATTTCATTGTTGATCGTATCTTTCTCTACTACTTCACCTTCTCCTGAATTACGTGCCAGTATGATTTTCACGTTATTATTTCTTTTTGCGATTTATTTTTTTTCACTCATTGACTTATTGACAACTGACTTACTGCCGACGTAAGATGAGTCCATGTACACGTAATTACGTCCATTTATTGTTCACTTGTAGATTTTCTCCAATTTTTTTTGTTTATTATCGGATACGTGCTAACAGGCCATCATTTCCTCTCAGTACTCAGAGAGGAAGAGGTGTCAAACGGATCGTACGGATGGGGATAAATCCAGACTATGGACTTCTTTCTGGGATAAATCGCAATTGCAGGCTGTCATTTGTCCCTGAAGTAGTCTCCCGCATTCTTCTAGTATAGCCAGCTGTAAGGGTATAGGAGAGCAGAACAGCGCTCATCCATTTCTCAGTACAAAAGGAGTGGATAGAACAGTAGCACAGTGGTCCTTCATCTGAGCCAGTAAACCTAGTGGGTTTAGTATTTACTTAGTAAGTCGTCGTGATTCAGAAAGCTCTGTACTGGACTGTAACAATAACGCGAAATGCAAAACAGTATTCGGGTAATGTAAGCGGAAATGGTCAGCAGTTCAAGGAGAGCGGAATCGCTAATAGTGGCTGTGGCAAGATGGCACTAGCCACTTGAACCTCTAAAAGATCCCCACGTAAGGATACGAGCGCTGTTTCTGTGCTATGTACCAATCTTTCAGGATTTGCATAATAATCTCTCTTATAATCTAGATGATATAGTAAGGATAGCAGTAAAAGATGAGCGCGACATGAATATTTCATGGTCGGTCAGCATGAATTTATGTCGTCAAAAAAATTCTCATTCACTTCACGATACACTCTTCCCAGTCCGTTTGTCGTCTGCCGTTTATTGACTGATTGTTCTACATTACTTTGTAATATTAAGGAATTGTTGTATTTCATCATTCAATGAGATTCGTTTATGTATCGATGATGAGTAATATTTGTTGCTCGACATTGGAAAACACATTGCAGAGGTTACGATTACTTTCCTTTTTTTTCTTCATTCGATTTTCATTTGTCCTGGTTGTTGTCTCGTTTGATTGTGTAGGTTCGCCATGTGATGACTTTGGATAAAGATGTTTTATACAACCAACAGAAGCCAACATCCTTTACTAGTATCACGATCCGATTAAGGTTTGTGTTAGTATACGAGTTATTGCGTTTGCTGTGCTTGTTGATTGCGGTCGCGTGCTAGGAACGGCTGTGATTGGAGGTTACATGAGACAACCAATCAGGCGTCTCATAAGCACATGCATGGTTTTTTATGATCTGCGTATGCAAAAGGTCCACAGCGATCATGCTTGGTTGCAAGTGGATCCGCTAACTAGAAATGACTTATTTAGTTAGCATGGACAGGATATGGCAAGGCTAAAGACCAGATGATCGGCTGAATAGACGTTATGGCTGACCAAGCCAAATTGAGGTCCCAGATGTTCCTTTGCCGACAGAGAACAAATCATTAGACTTTTTGTGGCGGTGGCGTTCATTTATGGCTACTGCTGGAATGACCCTTGTGAGAGCGACGGGACAGTTTGTCCCCCGTGCCAGGAGGAGCTAAGCTTTCCCTTTAGCGAAAAGTTGGGCAGGAATATCATTCTCTCTAACGAGTGAATTCTTCTAGTAATGCATAGAGCTGAATGGATTAAGCAGATGATATTTCCTAGCAGGAAAATATTGCTGATGAAAGAGGAAATTGAGGACGGAAAGGGTCACATGGCCGTAGATAACTTGTCAAGCGTGGTGATTATTGCTCATCTCGCGGGTAAAAAAGGTGGCAAGACATGACCCCCTACTGCGGCGAATACGACCCCCGTTCTGTTTTACACAGTGAATGTTCTGGAAGCCATGTTCCACATCATTTCAACCCAACCTCCAGTAATGGCCGTGTAAGAGGTTGCTCAGCCTTGCTCATTCTGTACGAATACCCTGGTCGTTGTTTCCGCGTATACCCCTGGCTTCTTCTGACGCAGATCTCAGTAGAAAGGCTCCAATATCCGCTCCCAGAGGTACATTTCTCTTTGATTTACTGGGCGGTGTCTGTTGTGCCATTGCGTTTCGAACATTGTAACGCTCATCCAGGAGGGAGGGATTGACGCATCAATGAGTCGTGAGGGGATCCAAGTTACCTTGCCCATATGACTAGCACAAAATGTGCCTTTGAGCGAATATCGCTGTAATACGTTATTTGGCCTCGCGCCTGGCCAGACGATGAGTATCCAAAAGCTGCTTCGACGCTGAGGCTTCGTTCATACTTTGCGACAGCGTCCACCAGGGTCTACCAATGTCACCAGTGACCAATAGCGTTCTGAGCGTCCAGCAGCGTCAGCGACTAGGAATGGATATTGATCTAGCGTTTGCCAGGGTCTGGAGCTTCTCGAGGGCTAGGGAAGAATAGGTATCGATCTAGCATGTGCCAGCGTCTACCAGCGTCCATCAGCGTTCAGCAGCGACCGGGAGTAGAGAATATGGGGAAGTAGGAGGGTAGCAAACAGCTGCAGCGCACAACCGCTGAAGCACCGAACTATGCAATTTAATGTACGAACATTGAGTGTACGTAGTAGTAGGTGAGGCTGTCACGATGCTATTTCACGACGTCAATCCGGTGGTTTGCGACCCTCCTCGCTTCCCCACACTCTCTACTCCCGGTCGCTGGTGGACGCTGATGACGCTGGTAGAAGCTGGCAGATCCTAGATCGATGCCTACGCTTCCCTAGCCATCGAGACGCTGGAAGACGCTGGACACTGGTAGACACCGGAGCGCTTTACTCGCTACCGCAAATTATGAAAGCAGCATGAGATAACTCGCCATGCGGCTGAGAGAGACGGCCATGACGGCTGTCTCAATAACAAGTAGTAGAAATTTAACCACTTACCTCTCTGAAACGAAAGATTATTCTCCAAAGCCCTAAAAACTTGCGGCTCACCAGCGAATTAGTCACTCATTACTTTTCTTACCACCCTCTTACTTACAATTAGTAGACTTCAGATTTACAGCGAGGTCTGTCCATGAGTGGACCGTTCCTATCTGAGCACCCATAGTCTCAGCTTTCTAGGAGAGTAGAAAACAGAAAGCGATTTCCAAAGTACGATTCTTCATGAGAACTCCATTACGGGCAAAACGCTTAGCTGTAGCCAAGGCTAGAACCTGGACCTCACGATCACCATGCTAATACTATGGCTGAAGTAATAACCCAGTAGATCAAACAATAGCGGCATAATTTGTATTCCTGAACTGCTATTTTATTGGACTGTTAAAGGGCCTCGGCTCCGTAAGCCATATGGTCTGTTTAATTGACCAAGGCTGTAGTCCTGCGATACACCCGTCTATGATGTTGAACAACATAAGTCAATTCTAGTAACCAGATTGTTCGGAACCAACCTCGGCCATTATGAATAATCTGGATCAAAAGTTTCAAGAGAACACCCATTCATGCACCTACAATGGGTAAATGAACGCGACGAGCCACGTGACTAGCCGTCTCATGTAACCGTCCAATCACATCCATCTCAAGCATGCTACATTATTATGGTACGTCTATTTTTCCACGTTTTCCAATGCATCAGAAGCACTAATGTAGTCCTTATAATTGCCTAGCTCTGCAACTCTGGTTTCTATTCATTAGTGCCGCTGTGTTGGTCATTTTAGTATGTCGTTATGGTGGTTTATTGGTATTGCGCTGGTAGTTACGGCAATATCGGAGTCTGCTCATGCATAACTGATCAGGGTCAGATATGACAATATGAGTATATCTGTGGAGTCCGCGATTTTATGATGAAAGGGCATCTCAAGCTGAATGAGTAGTTACTTTTTTGTACTTTCGAGAAAGTGGTATTTTTTCGTGCAGGAGGCATCAGTGCCTACGAAAAATCAGCCGATTATTTTGCTGAAGCTCTACATTAATCAGGGATATACAGGGGGGGGGGGCAGAATACAAGTCACTTTCTTCCTTGACTTTCGAGGCGTTATAAGTTACACTTTATTGGAATCTTATCGGACATTTCCACCATCATATTCAGCAGCATATTAAATACTACAATTTTAATCCGCCACAGCCTTCTGGAGGAGCGCCATCGATAGATTCTGCTGCGCGACCGTGTTTTGGTGCCTGAATTCAGCGAGATAGCTGATTACTCCACCACTGTAGACCACCCTGTTGAGCTCCGCCCGAACCGGGTAATCGAGGGGATTTAGGTCAGGTGACACACTTAGATATTCCATCTTCTTCAGGAACCCAACTCCCTTCCATTCCAAGTAGGCGAGAGTTTTTCCAACTCCCCTCGATTCGATGTGGTGGCACCCGAACCTGTACAGTACAAAGTTTCATGTAGGGAGGACATGCAGGGAGGATATTCTTTTCGAGTTGCTCGATGTAACCACCAGCGCTCTCCTTCAGACCGGGTGCACGAAGAAAATATCGGTTTTTCCATTCCAGGTACGTCCGGTCCCTACCATCAACCCGCGCCTTGGCGACTGCGGTGAAGATGATGTCCTAGACCGTAGCGACGTTGTCGGAGATGCTCGATCTTGGAGGTCTTCCAGATTGACAGTACTGGTCTCCAGGTAGCTATCCATGAGTGATTCCATACTAGAAGTTTCGCAGCTGTTTGTAGGTGACATGAATTCCAAAGGTCTTCTCAAGTCAGGCTGCGACTGGAGATGACTTCATATTTGGTGTACATGAAGGTGGGGCGAGAGCCTGCTCCTGCTTATCGAGGAACATCTTGGGTATCTTTCGCCCTGGTACTCGTATCCACGTCCCCTGTCTGGGCTGCGAAAACTTTGCTGATATGTAACTCGGTAGAAGT